GGATTGCTGGCGATGAAGGGGAGGGAGATTGGAGAACAGAGCGGAATAGGGGATGGATTGCATATTGCAGGTAACTGAGGTTACTTATCACAGCAAACTTTGCTCAGAAAGTGGGATTTTATTCAAGATCATGACAGCGATGATTTGTTTGCTGCTGTGTTTGAGATGGAATATGTTTAATAATATTGTATATGTTGGAAGACGGTGTTTGTAAGAGTAAATTCAGCTGGCTTGGTAATGTGGCACATTGAGTTGAAGGGGATGTAATAAATTGCATGCAAGTTGGTCATTCAGTGACTGCTTTCGCCAGTGTGTCCACAACAAAGTGATCCTGACCTCAGGCCCAAAGTTATTACTGTCAGCATTAGAAGTACATTATTCGTAGGGTGCGTACCGCCACCCCTGTTTTACTCTGGCGTCGCTCTAGCCTATTTGACGTGCCTCGAAAGATCCTGACTTTGCAGCAATGTTGCCCAATCAGGGGTAGGCTGAACGGGCGGGCGCGCAGCAAAGTTTTTTGAAATGTTGGAAAAAAAGACGTGTAGAGATAATTTGTATGTAATCATTTGAGATTAGTTTTCTGTCATCAGACTCCAACAACTTTCCTTTTTTACCTTTATAATCCCTACATTCTCTACGCAAGTTAGCCAATGCAGGGGTAAGAAGATCACAACAAAATTAATGCACTCCTAAATAGCATTAGAAAATTCGCTCCTACTGACACTAGAGGCGGGACGAAGACGCAATGCGTTCAGGTGTTCATGGTCCTAGTTGATAAAGCTTGTAATATACGCGACTGTTCTGCTATTCGCTTCCTTCACATTAAACATGAATGGTGCATAGAGGGAATAAAACTTTGTTTCAGATTATTCTTTGGGTCACCATCGACCACTTTCTTTGCATAAACTGTAGAGCATCATCTTTTATTATAGTTGGAGCTGCATCATTGATGGTTAGATGAGAATAGGCTCAATGTCATCGCCATCGTCTCTCGACTTCTCCTCTTTTTACGTTTTTGGATCTCAAATCTTACGCGATGAAAGTAATTGTATAAGAGGTCAGCTTTTAGTGATTTGTATTTGTTATAGGCGAGACAGCTCAGACCATAAGAAGTTCCATGCTTTTCTTTTTACCTTGGCCTTTATTTAACTGGAACTAGTGAACTAAGTAGAGGCAATTCGAACAGACAGCAGAACAGCGCTCATTTCGAAAACACTTCTACAATATTAAAGATCAATGACTACTGCTCTGTTGCTTGATTTGTGCTCACTGAACGCTTCTAACATAAAAAGTGCGAATACCCCCTACATCGCTATTCGT